CTCTTTGATCATTTACGGGTCTAAGTCAAACGATTTCTTCCAAAAAGGCAGGCAAGAGGAGTTAATGGAGGAGAAAAGGGAGGCATCGACTGGATATGAAAATGAATTTTAGTTCACACTGAATGTTTTCCAGCAATCTAATACAACAGCAAAGTCTATTTTCTAGGGCTCTAAAGGTTGAGGGTATGTGTTGCTGTGGGAGGTGAGAGGCAAGGAGGCTTATTTAAGTCACTCTAACCCTCCCCCATCTTCTCTCCTTGCAGCCTGTGGAGCTTGGATGGGTTGTGAACATTTTCCCGGTTGAAGGACAAGTGGTATCGGGGTCCTGTGACAACTGGGAGAGTTTCAGAAAGAGGCAGGGTGATCCAGGCTGGGGTCTCTCTCTTCCTCACATCTTTTTTTTTTAAAATATATCTTTATTGATTTCATAGAGAGTAAAGGAGAGGGAGAGAGAGAGAGAAACATCCATGGTGAGAGTCGTGCATGGGCTGCCTCCTGCACGCCCCTGACTGGGGATCGAGCCCACAACCCGGGCATGTGCCCTGACTGGAAATCGAACCCCGATCGCCTGGATCCTGGGTCGACGCTCAACCGCCGAGCCACGCCCGGTTGGGCTCTTCCTCACATCTCTTGAAGACTGGTTGTCAGAGATGTTTTTAGCATCCTTTCCAGGGGAAAGGAACAGAGACAATGGAACAGAAACCTGTCACTATTGCTACCTTTCATCTTGGGGCGTTTGCTACAAAGAGGTTGGTGGGGAGACTTCCTTGCCCACCGTTCAGTGTCCCCCTTATGAAAACTCTGTGCCTGAGTTTTTTAGTAACTGGGAACACTGTGTCTCCCTGGTGAATATACTATGCTTTCTTTGATCTGACACTGTAAATACATAATGTAGTTTCCTACGTTGCTCAGGCTGCTAGGGAACTCGGAAGAATTGCTCAGCCCAATGACAGCACCTAACTCAGTCATGGGTCTTTTTTATGGCTTTGTAGGACTACTTCACTTAGATTATTGTAATTCAGATCTGAGTGATTTTCATTATGTATGTACTTGGTTCTGCTCTGTTAGCTTTTGAAAGTATATGCTCATCAGATTTTAAGGCCCAGGAGGAGGGTATAAGTTGCATGGCTGTTGGTCTCTCCTCAGTTGCACGAGGCAGGAATGTTTTCTGCTGTAGTCCCTGTTGTACACAGACACTGGTCTGACATAGATGATACTCGATTAACATCTACTGTTGGAACAGATGCATTAAAAATTCTGGTGATGTGTGACGATGAATCTGTTTATTGAAAGTAGCAATCAATAAACCGTGTGTTTGTAAGCTCCAGAAAAAGGCGCCATAACATCTTATTTATTATAGTATTTCCAGTGCTGCACAGAAAACCTGACCCTGAGTAGGTTCTCCACTTATCTGCTAAATAACTAGATGGATGGATTAACAAATAAAAAATAGCTACCAATGGATAAATGGATAGATGATGGATACACAGATGGACAAGTGATCAGATGGACACATGAAGGAAGGGAGAAACTGAAACAGTGAGAAATGAATAAGTGAGAAAATATAAATGGATATTAACTTAAAATTCAGGGTTTGGTATGATATTTAGAGTTTTAAATTCTCACACACAAAACCCTTGTGTGCGATCTAGACCAATAGTCTCAGCTAAACGCGTTTCCAGTCCGGATGATCAAATTGGGCCACAGAATCGGCTTCCCAGTGAGGTCTAAAACCTGACAGCAAATATGTCTTATTTTCATCTCTGCTATTCAGCAGAGAAATCTCTGATGTTATGGACGTCCGGGTATTAAATTAATCAAATTTCGTTAAGACGCTGCCATTGTCCCCAGTGAGTATATAAACCATAAAGCCAACATTTAAACTAAATCTAGTAGGTGAAACTGCTTATTAAGAGTGAGCCATCGAGGCCATCTGGGAGGGCAAAAAAGATCAAAATAAGTCCCTCCGTTCTAATAAAAACCCAACTACTCAATTATTGAAAGGATTATTTTTTAAAAAGGTAGGAGGGCAGAAGGAAGCTGCCACTCGCAAGAGCAAGCCAACAACGTCAGGAGCCTCTGAGGGAGAAAAGGACCTGTTTCTGGGTGAAGACAGGACAGTCACAGAGCTGAGGGACAGTCACAGAGCAGAGCATCGCCCACGTCCTCCCACAGCCTGCAACCTGAGCCTGTCTGCCAGGTGGGCGTGGCTTTCTGGAAAAATGACATGCAGCACCCCCTGGATTTCCTCAGACCCCACCAAAAAACCCCCATCATCATTGGTCTCTCTGGCAGGACATCACCGAATCCAAACTGGGAAAGGGCAACAGCTTTCGACCCACCCGCGCCGAGCTCCCACTGATCGCAGATGTTAGCAGCGCGCCACTGGCGGCAGCTCCTTGGCCGGTAGCCCCCCAATTTTGCACAGCAGCTGCCCGAGTGTGCCGGCGCCAGGAGTGCTGTGAGAGCCGTCATCCCCATCCTGGCACAGAAATCGGGAAGGACAAGGCCCAAGCTGGGGGCTGGTCCCTCTCTAACCCAGCCGCACACCAGCCTCTTGGCTCCTGGTAATTAAGAGCCAGCAGACTGTGGGCAAAGCAGTTAAAAGCGCTTTTTCCCAGGAATGCAGCCTGAGTAATTGGCTTGCTGCTTGCTAATGACATGGCTTCTACAAAAATAAACTGTCACAGGGAGTTCTTTCATCTGACTCGGTGAATGCAGGCACTATACCTGTCTGACACCCTGAGTGCAGCACGGGATTTCCAAAACACTTTGGGGAAGAAAAGACACAAATGAGTCTTCAGAAATCCTCTTGCACAGTTAAGTCTAAATGGGATGCAGAACAAAAAGGAGCGCCGTGCCACCTGAGCTGAGGGACAGTCACAGAGCAGAGCATCGTGCAAAACTGCTGCATCTCCCCCAGCAGGCTCCTGTTGGGACCCCGTTCCACGTGGGTGTGTAAAATTGGTCCATCACGTAG